CACAAGAGCCGTTTTACTCGGTATTTACAGTACTTTCGTGATGGCGGACCCTCTTCTATGATGATGGTTGATGATGGTGATCATGATGATGATGATGCATGATGAAGGATGATGATGGATGATGATGACCGATGATGGTGGTGGATTGAGGCGCCAGGTGGTTGGTAGGAGGGGGGGTGGCTAGTAGTAGTAGTAGTAGTAGTAGTAGTAGAAGCAAACAAAAGCAGGAGACGGAAGTGGCTTATGCCACTTAGTAGAAGGAAAACCGAAGTGCAGGGAGGCTTGGCAAACCTGCTGCACCCGTAAAGTTAGCAACTCACACGTTCACTGCTCGCAACCCCAATTGGTGCTGGGAAGCACGGTTCATGTTTGTAGTTGCTGCTGCAATTTTTTTTTTCAGGAAAACCATGACCCAACCAGTTGGGTTATGGGTTTTGCCCGAGTGGCCTCCCTTACAGTCCAACGGCGCTCTGCAGCCCTGACTCCTTTGCCCCAAGCAGGTGACCTGAGCACTGGCGTTGTCCCCGGGCCACATGGCATGCACCCCTGTATGACCGCCACCCGCACGGTCAGGGGGAGAGGCAGTGGCCAGTGGGTAAAGACACTCGGCGACTCTTGGCCCTCAATGACAAACACAAAGGTCTGACTGGCACTTGGCTGCACATCCGAACTGTTGTAGAGGACCTTTCTACTGGGAACTGAAGGTCTTGAAGAAACTTCCTGTACTTTTGGCAGATTCCATTTGCACGAGAAGTAGTGTAAGCAGAGTTGACGATACGATCTTCTTTCCACGGACACGTGCCATGCCGCTTGAAGGAACGAACTCGACGCAAGGAAGTTTGAGCCCGTGGGTGCGCCGTTTGTGTTGTCCTCTGGGGGATAGTTAGGGATAGTTCTTGGCCTTGTTCGTCCTCAATCCAATTGTGTCCTCGTCGGAATGGCGAACATGGAATACGAATATTCTTGGATCCCGGCATGGTGTTCTTGTCTGCGTGCGTTTTCATATGTACGTTGCACGACAGAGTCACCACGATAAACGAAGTATGCGCACAGGATCTGACCATGGTGGCCAGGAGGGCTGTGTTCCATGGTTTTGTTCTTGCGTCTTTGCTGATGCAAATGGTGCCTGCGTGGTAGAATGTGCCAGGGCCAACTACTAATGTGGGCTCCTTGGTAATAGGTGGTGGTGGTGACCGTCGTAGTAGTCGTCGTCGTAGCAGCTCGACTGTCAAAATGCATTTCCAGGAGCACTGCGGTTTATGATGATGATGATAATGGCCGTAGTACTGGGAGCAAGAATAGACGTGTGAGCAGCGGGCAACAACCTTAAACTCTGCAGCAGCGCAGTCCCAGAGACATTCAATCATTTACTGGCTTCCCAACTCTGAAATGCCAACGTCATTGCCTGCCTTCGTGAAGAACTGGTTCATCAGCAGCCTCCCTTCGTCGAACTTTTGGCGCGCGGCAGTAATGTTTTCCTCCAAATGGAAATGCTAATATGATCATCAGACTTAATGCTTTTTCATCCGACCCTGATATACTAGATTAAACTAGCTGTTGTTTTCCGGTGCTTTAGGCAGTCGGGAGTTTCCTCAGCGCAACACCACAGACTGCTTTAGCGGTCCTCGCGGGCAGCCTTCCCCAGCTGATACTGGTTAATTTCGAACTTCTGGAAAATCTGGAGAGCGAGGGGTCCAGGAAGCTTCAGGCTTCCGAGGCTGGGTTTGCCTGCTGCAGCTCCTCGGACGTGTCCGGATCCACGGCGTTGCTCAGGGACACGTCCCTGAGCCGCCGGCACAGGCTGGCAGCGTTAAAAAGCAAGCTTTCCGGCAGTGCAACGAAGCATAGAATCGTAGCCCCAGCTTGTAGGCTTGAAGGCAGGGGCGATCCCGGAGAAAGCAAGCTGTCTGGGTTTCTGAATCTGGTGCACGGCCTATGCACTTCTCAAAACTCAAGCAGCGCAAGTATCGCTAGAATAAAATGGGGCTCAAATTCTGAGTTGAGGAGTGCATTGCAGAGGTTGTTTATCAAAGCGCTTCATGTGCTTTGAGGACCAAGACCGATGCGATCATGAGATGCAGCGAGAACCGAGCATCTGAAACGGCCTGTTCCCAAGCGCACCCAGACATGTGTTGTCATGGGTTATCTGAGTGCCGTGCTTCATGGGATAAAGGATATTCCGTTCGAAGACGGTAATGGAGGCACCGGCACCGGCATTCTGGCTCACATTGCCCTTGTACCTGACATCCCCGGTCTCTTGACAGCAACGGAGAGATCTGCACGGTCTGTTGGGGTCATGTGCCACGCAACAGGTATCCGAGCTCCCTGTGTGCAAGGAGCGGGCGAGCAAGCGGCGGCCTGCTATGTACTTTTCGACCGACCTGCGGGTGCCCTTGCCATGCCAAGAGCAGCAAAGTGATACAAGCTGCATCTCATACAATCAGGCACGGCCGCATGCTCACGTCAAGTATGGTCAAACTGTAGGTGCACCCCCGGCGCACATCTCGCGAAGGCTGGCGAGGGAACGAGCATCTGGGCAGGCAGCACCCATCTCCTGGCCAGTGGGCGCAGTGTTGTGCCCGAATCCGACAGAGGGCATCTGTGCCTTGCACATCTCTTCGCTGACCAGGTTCTCGGTGGGGTGGACCAACGGCTTGACGTCAAACATGTACCTCATCGTCGGGCAAAGCCGGACACCGTGAGATTTAAAAGACCGCAGGAGGAGTTGCACCAGTCGGCTGCGAAGTTCAGGACTCGTGCCTTCGGTCCAGGTGTCACACGAGACTTCGAGGCACTGGCACTGCCATTTTGACTCCCCGCCTTCTCACGGAAATACGCGAGGCGGTCCTCCATCTGGTACCTCGAAGGCATCAGTGAGGAGACATGCCGCAAGCCCCACACATCGCACAAGCCAACAAGGGCACTGAGCGAAGGCAGCCTGCAAGCCGTGGTGTCAATTGGCAACACCGAGGATGCGGTCAATAGTTCCGTTCGTTTTCATGACAAATCAATTCAGAAAGATACATATTTTCTCTGCAGAAAAGGCCTGGGGTGCAAGCAGAGAGGTACCGCTCGCCAGAACGGCCTCAGGGCATCATGCACTTCCAAATTCAATGGAGAGGGAGGCGGAGTGAAGCATCGGAATAAACCCTGGGCTTCTTCTCCTTCTTGACGTCCCAAGCCTTTCCTGGGACCACTACGTCTCTGCGCGAGAAGCTTGCAGTCTGTTCCCGTGTTGCGCCGCGGCGAAGCATTGCACCTCGTCTCTGTGCCGCAAGGACGCAGGGAAGTTGAAGGTTTCACTTTGCCCTGCCTCCGATACAGGTCGCCAAGGCCACCCACGCCCATACCGGCCTGGCGCAGTGGATCTCTCATTGCAGGAGCTGCATGAAGCGAGGATTTGCTACGTTTGAAGGGGCATCGGCCTGGCCTGCAGTCTTGGCTGTGGCTGTCCTGGCCCTGTGCCGCAGCTGCCAGTTGCCTGAGACTGGGAAAGTGAAAACTGCCACTGCGTCACAAGCTCCTCTCGTGGATGTTTAGCGGTTTCTGTTTTTGTGGCCTTCCTCGTGCCACGCCTTCTGCGGCAACGACAACTCACTCAGGTGGCGACGTGGCGCCAGACCCCTGCGAAGATGATCTTGTTAAGAAGTCAAGTCCCAAATCCATTCAAAGACCGATGTAGCACATGTGAGCCTTGCTTCTTTGGCCCTGTCCAGTGCATATTCAACAGTTCACGATAACCAAGCTGATAGATGTACCCACTCCTCTCCGGTCACGCTGAATCGCGGCGAGCGTGGAGCAACGAAGCCGCAAGCCCCAGCAAAGTGGCTGCAAACTGAGCTTTCTCATTTGAGCAGCGCAGCGAGATGCAGCGTGTTGCAATTTTCGGATGGGGTTGAAGCCGAGTGCTGCGCCGATGCAAACCCCATAGGCGCCAAGGAGAAGGGCCGGGGTCTTCCTTTTTGGCTCGACTCGCTCGACAGCGACAGCAGCGACAGCACCGAGAAGCAGCAAAGGCTGGGACCAAGATACGGATCGCAGAGCCATGACCCAGGGCGGAGACGCTCTTGCAAGAGTCCACGAACAATGTGCACACACTGTACTTGCAGAGGATCGCTTCGTCTTGCAATGATCTTGACCTGATTGCAATAGCATGGTATGCCACCAAGCTAAGCCTGAGCCGAGATGGCACCCGCGACGAGCGCTGAGATTCTTGGGAGCATGAAACTAACATAAACGAAGGGTATCGCAGGCTTTTGCGGCTTTTGCGTCGCGGCGTCGATTGCATCAGCCCCCTAGGCGCATGCCGGTGCCCTGGAAGGCTTGAAAGCTTGGCGGCTGGGGCCCCGGAGTCTCAGGCGGCCCAGGACCGCCAGGACCTGGGAAGTTCCGCTGAAGAGGGGCCATGGGTCCATCAGCCATGTTCGCGTTCACCAGGTTGTGGAGCTTGAGACCTTGGTAGGCCCCAGCACCTTGGCAGACGAAGGAGAAGAGCACGAATGGGCCCCCCACGAAGAGCTTCAGAGTCAGGAAGATGGCGTTGATACCAGACAGGAAAGCATAGGCCATCACGCAGGTTAACCCGTGGCTGCATTGACCAAGCGGACTATTTGCCAAGCAAGCATAGCAAGGTGCCACATTCGGATCGTCACTGAGTAGGAAGATCCCAACGCACCCGCTGAGCACTTCGTTGTATGGAATGTCGCCAGTGCAGAATCGCCCTACAGCGGCCACGAAGGTTCCTATCACGCAAAACCGGATTCGCCGCATCTTCTCGAGCATCTCCGGTGTCGGTGGGCCGACGTTTATTGGAGCCGGTGCGCTCAGCGGAATCATGTCTATCCGAGCTGTGAAGCTAATTTCAGCTACCTCTCTGCAGACAACCACGCAGCACATGCGTGCTTTGATTCAGATCTCAATGTCACGAATGCTGCATGCCCTTACCGCTTCGATGATTTTTTGAACTGAGGCGTATCTCTGACAGCACCTGTTACCTCGAACAGACTACAAGAGCCGAGAAACGCATTTGTCAGCGTGAGCAAATGCTGTCACAGCATCAAAGACACTCTCGAGGGTTTCTTGCCGAGGCTTTTGTTGAACGATCGGCACAGACCAATGCATCGGCAGCGGCAGCTGTGTCCTGTAAAGCACAGAAGGTCGGGCGAACCAGGGTAACCAAATGCTGCCAGAAGGGGGGGGGGGAGGGAGGGAGGCTGTTTCCAAGAGCCAGCTTTTCTGGGTGCCCTGCGACAGCACGAGCAGCCCAACCCACGTCTGCAGCTTTGGGCCTCCGAAGCATTCCAGTCGCTTCACTTCTCAGACCTTTTACTGATTCCTGCTAGCAAAGTGCATCCAGAAGCCGCCTTGCAATGTGTGCCTCTTCCACAGTTTGCCCTCCAGTGACCCCTCGTGAATGCACCCTCTTGGCTTCCAGCTGCAGCTGCCTTATGCGGTACTGCGCTCGATTCTTCGCATCCTGGGAGGCACTGAAACTTGCTACCTTGCCACGACACTACTCGAGAAAGGCTTCTCCGAGGAAGGACTCGGCTACAAGTAGTGGCTAGTGTGAGTTTCATCTGCTGCAGTCCTTCGCAGCTGTCAGCTCCTTCGCAAGTGTTTGACATGCCATGTTGGACCTCGACTGAGGATTGTGCAAAAGCGCCGACACACCAAAATGGCATAACATGGCTGCACGGCTACACACTGGGCCCGTGACTCCTCGAGAAGAGCGGCCTGACGCTTCAACTCTTCGCCTCTCTTGTCAAATCATGTCGCATGCCAGAGTCCGAAACGCTCCCAGCCCGGAATCTGAGGAGGCCACGCAGGCGCCGGAGCTCCGCCTCGCGACGCTTCGCCGCAGCAGCCCCCAGGACATTGGCGCGCTCCGCCTCGCGACGGAGAAAGTGCACACGAGGGCTTTCCCATGTTTGTCTCACCGAAGCTCTCTGTCAAAGCCTCGCCCAGGCGCTGATGGAAGCCATCTCGCTCCGCCTAGCTGCTGCATGCTGCCGCTCTGCCAGCTTCTGCCGGAGCTCCACGTCATCATGGTGAGCCCGAGGCCCTGACCCTTGCTTCGCAAAGGAGAGCACAAACAGCGTGAAACACCTCCGGCAGCGCAGCAACGCGACGCCGCGACGCCGTGACACGCATCACTCGCGCATCTCTCCGCGGCCAGGGCCTGGCCTGATCGTAGTTCTCGGGCCGCGCGAGGCAGTCGCGCACGGTGGTCCAGAGGCGCGGGTCCTTCGAAAAAAGAAGAGCAGAGGCCCCGTCGGCGAGGAACAGCGGTTACCCGTAGCGGTCCTCATGCTGGCCATCCTCAAGATGCAACCGCTCGCCCGGCAAAGCGTCTGTGTCGACTTTGGGCTTCAGCTTCGCGCTGTGACGCCTCGACGCGCTGCAGAGGTCTGAGTCAGCTCAACGCCGAATCAAGGCTTTTGACAGCAATCCATTTTTTGCTTATGTGGCAATGTGGCTCCGTGCTACGGAAGAGTGAGTGGCCCCGAGCCCTCGGCAAGACTCAAGGCGGCTGAGGGCACTGCCTGCTCGGAGTTTCGCTCCGTGCCCGGCGAGGTCCTCCAGGTTGCCCTTTGAGTTCGCCATCTTCGATTCACAGCACCTTGCCTGCACCTGGAAGCTGGCGCTGGACGGAAGGGTCACGCCTTGGCGGCTCCAGGTGCCCTACCGGCACGGCTTCCGACCCCCTCCTGTCTGTAAGGAGTTCCGTGTTACCAACTCGGGTCCAAGCTGATTGACCTGGCGTGTCAACTTCGCATGTGCCGCCACATCGCAACTGACAGCCTCTACGCACAAGCTCGCTTTGGTCGCCTAACTAAGCTTTAAGAGAAGGTTCTCTGACGGACCAGGCCGAGCCGAGGCAAATGGCTTTTATGCACTGAACGTGACATCGCGAACACCAGCTCTCCTCCACCCCAGTGGTGCAGCCTCCGGCGTGGCTTGCGGCAGAGGCCGCGGCTCCTGCTACATGTAGTAAAAAACGAGCAGCGCCCGCATTTTGAGGCTAGGTCAAGGCTTTCAAGGCCTCGAGGGAGAGGCAGAGGGAGCTCTCTCGGAGAAGTTCGACGGCCTCCAAAAAACCGCTCAGGTCTGGGAAGTGCTTGTGTCAAAGGAGCTTTGGAGGTCGGGACCTTGGTGCAGCCTCGCAGCTCCACCAGGGGATAGAACGGCCCGCGCAACGGCAAAGAGGCCTGAGATCAGACAGGGTCAGAGTCGCGTCTTTTCGACCTCTGAGCCGACCTCACAGGCCGCTACGGTCCTGCCATTCAGCCGGACCTGATTACGCGGAGCAGGGCTTCTTGAATTGACCCGGGTCAGAGCCGCAGACTTGGAATTCGCCCGCGCTGAGGAACACATGCACCTGGCGCTGGACTGTGAGGGCCCTGCCCAGCACGGCACCGGTCTTATGCCTGGTCGCCCACTTGCAGCTGGCTCGTGTCCCAGGTGATGTCATGGCCTGACTTCCCAAGAAAGGACGCCGATGCGAGATAACCTGAACCACACTCTGCCAGGCCAAGGCGACCAAGTCGCACTGGTTTCCATCCCAGAGGGCACCACCACCACCGGCCACCACGCTGTCTCGGCATGGAGATGCATACAGGAGGTTGCATAGGGTTGCATGTGGTCTCCTCGCTTACTGCCCTGGCCGACCTGGGACATCCGCTGCAAAATCCATGTCGCCAGGTCGCAAGGCCAGACCTCGGCTCGTTGCTCTTCGAAAACTTGTCCCTCAAAATTAAAATCCTATACCTTCGCCAAGAAGAGAGAGAGAGAGAGAGAATGCGTGGCCCATGGCTGTCTGGACTGGTCATCGTCAGGCCGACCTCCATGGGCCGGGGTGCGTTCAGACCCGGAGTGTCCACAATTTGAGAGGAGAGCCCCAGCTTCAGCCCCGTGCCCAAAGCCCAGAGCTGAGACCAGACTCGGTGTCCACGTCGGCGATGAGAAGGCTGAAACCCTGACGAAGGGGTCTTCTCCCCATCCCAAGGAGGCTCAACTGAGAGACTTGGCGAACCGAAACCGTGCTGCGACGCGCGCCCATCCCAGCGCTGTGCTGGATCCTCGGCACGCGGGGCCTGAGCCAAGAGCTGGGTTCAATGGGGGCTAACCCTGCCCCTGAAAGAGTCCCTGTTTCGGTTTTGGCTGAGTGCCAGAACAAGGTGCTCGCGCAATGGCAATGCCTGGCAGCTTGTAGCAGCCGTTTCTATCATGCTCCAGGTGAATCGGATGTGTGCCCCCTGAGCCCACCGAGAACGAAGACCGAACCCGGACGAAGCAAACGTCTCGGAATCAACCGCTTCGTCACGTCCGCCGGAGCGTGTGCCTCTGGAGACACCCTTGCGGCTGGCTGTCGCCTGCTCCGGCCATGAGTCCGTCACTGGCATTCAGAATTCGATATGCTTCTGGTCTTCTGGTTGCGAAGGAAAGCCCAGGATAGTTTCGGATGTTAGGCTCCGCTCTGCCACCTGGCTGCGCCCGGACAGCGTGAGGCTTTGGCTGCTTGCCCGGCGATGGAAGCCGAAGCCCTGACAAAAACACCGAGGAGCACGTCACGTCTCAGACCTCTTGGAAAGATCCCAGCTCTGGATGCCTGAGTCCCCGATGCCATGCAGCGCCGCGCGCTCTGCAGAGTAAGGGCTGCCAGGCTATTGTGCTGCTTATGGAGGTTATTCGGGCAAAGGAGGCTGCAAGGACGCCGTTGCTGGAATATGCTGTGAACATCTGCAACGTAATGGTGTTGCCAACGAGAAACATTCAATGTGTGGCTCTGTGCTCTGAGTCCAGGCTCGACCCAACGCGCCGAACATGGCAGCATAATTATGCAATTGCAAGTGTTTTTTAATGCGCATTAACAACATGATATGCAACTATACTTCCTGTGGCATATCATCGAAGCTATACCAAAAGACACCTGGGACCCAAGAGGCAAGCCAAGCCTAGGAAAGCAAGGGGCTCATGCAGGCCAACGTGGATGTGTCTGACGTGCAGCTGCACAACCAGACGCGCTTGCCTGCAGGTGCTCGATGCTCAGGTCTTTGGGGGGGGAGATGCTGGGAAAATCAACCCTGTGAGACACGTCACCGCTTCCCGGAGGGAGGTTGAGTTTTCATCTCCGCAGCTTTATCTTCTCACGAAGGAAGCTTGCAAGCCCACCAGGAGCCGGGACAACTGCGTGAAACGAGAGAGACTGTTCGCGGACCACGGCTTCGCTTGCACGACACCATCGATCCTGGCTGGGCAACCCATCCAGACCAACCACGCGAGGCACAGAATAATGTTGCTCGTGTCTTTATCTTCGTCTTCAGCGTCATCATCATCACAAGCAGCAGCATCATCGTCATGGCAACCATAGCAAGGCAGCAAGGTCTGTCGCGAATCTAACCGAAGGATGCTTGCAGAGGTCATCCCCGGCGCCTGTCTGTATGCAGGGGACGGAGCTCTGGATTTCACGAGGCCACCGCTCCTGCAGAGACAGAGCTCTGAAGGGCCTTGACTGGAAAGCAGAACCACAGCTGGTTCCAATGTCTGCAGGCTCCTAGAAGTCGAGACTCCTCCACGCCACCGACAACCTTCCGGCGCCACTCCAGGGAATTTTTGTTGAGTGCGCTTTTTGTGTGCATCGTCGCGGGTCTCCTTCCAGATGATGGCCACCACGCTGAGACCAACACAGCCCAAGACCTGCCCCAAGGCCCTCTCCGCAATCTTCGCGAAGTGAGGAAAGCAAAGCCGGTGCCTCTTTGTGTGCTGCCGGGCCCTGGCTCAGCAGTTTGGGCCGGATCGACATGTAGACGGCCAGGAGCACCCCCAGCCTTTGCTTGCTTCGGCACAACAACTTCCCCACCGGTCTCTCAAAAGTAGTCACAAGCTCCAGGCAAACAAACGATCCAAGAGAGCATTGCCCATTCCAACCTCAGTGCACTGAAGCTCGGCGACTCACCCGCGTGAAAGCCGCTAAGGGTGGGGCAAGGAGAGTGCGGCATCGAAGGTGGCGGACCAGCAACGACAACTGGCAGGGAGATAAACTCATGGTGGGGCATGCTGTGCGAGCTCCATGCCGGCAAAACTACAGCTCGTCGCTTTCCTCGGCCCAACATCTAGGAACAGGAGAACTCCAGCAAACAGCTTTCAGGGCCAGGCCCGAGGAGAACTCCAGAGCGAGAGGGCCTTGCCAGCTTTTTGGCACGCCTCCCAAAAGGGGTAAAAAGCACTGAACACACAAAACACATCTCAAAACATTCACGAGATGAGTGGAGCCCATGCCGCGCAAAAAAAAAGGGCCTGTACACGCTTCCGGCTGCTCTGACCGGGAAGGTCCAGTGGCTGGCAGAACTCCTGCATCTGCGAACATCTGCGAACATCTGCGAACATCTGCGAACATGTCGGAAGAAATCTGTTGACTACGGTCATCAGAGGGCGCAGGGAGGGCCATGATGCTACGTCTTCTGCGTAAGAAGCCAATGATTACAACAACAGACTGAAGTCCTGAAAATCCGCAAAAGCTTCAAGGATACAGTGAAGGAAGTTTCCAAGGGGCCCCAGAAGTCCCCCGAAGGTGGGCCTCTGAAAACCCGGGTACAAACACAAGCTCAAAGGCTCTATCCTCAGTCGGCTGTTCATGTCTTGAGCCATGTACGGAGTGCATCCAGGCTTCTCTGCACACTGGGGTCTGAAGAATATGCTCAACGTCCCTCTCTCCTGGGGTTGTCGTGATCACTGCCCCTTTAAAGTTGTTGTTGCTGGTGGGAGTGATCGTGATGTCGGTGCTGGTGTTGGTGTTGATGTTGGTGTTGCTGCTGCTGCTGCTGCTGCTGGTGGTGGTGGTGGTGGCGGCGGCCGTGGCGGTGCTGGTGGTTTTAGTGGTCGTGGTGGTGCTAGGTGATGGTCAAAAGGCTGATTTCGACGTATGACCATTGTATGGATAATTAATGATGGCTGATGGCTCGGATGATCCGGAGAAGACGACGGCGAAAAGCAGGTCCTGAGCCACCACAACTGGCAAGACTCTCTTCTCCAGCGTACACCTGGCAGAGCAGGCCAGCTCAGCGCACGCGCAGCATGCTTCCCAGCTTTTTTGATCCATGGTACCTGTATTCAGCTGCCCCTTCAGGGCTTGACGGTAGCAAAGACCAGGAGTCAAGCTCTACACTCTTGCAATAGGGTGTAATCACAGTTGGAGCGACGGCATGCAGTCGGAAGGCTGCTATCCTTTTTCCACTTTGCTGCTGTGTGGCCTTGAGCCAACGTCCACCGGTCGGCAGTCTGTCAGAGCTGCTTCACGTGACTGCTATCCTGGTCAATAATGCAAAGCACAAGCATCAGGATTATCTTCACAGTCCCCCCAAATAAGAGTTGACCAGAATA